CCGAACCTATGCAGTTGGGGTCACTAGACTGTCAGAGGCTGAAAAACAGTATAGGAGAAGGGAGGGGTTATGCCTATATTGAGGTAGAAAGGGACATATGATAACTAATTGTCCAGTCCGTCCGGAAAACTTCCGCACCTAAGAACCTTAAGGGGACAGATCTTAGGTTTGATGGAGTTGTCCTCTAACAAAAACAAAAGTAGATTCCTCCTTGAGGTATCTATTTCCCTTGATAACAAGAAGTTTTCTTGCAGTGCCCTAATGGACTCAGGTGCTGCTGGAAATTTTATTGATGTCCAGTTTATTAGGGGTAATGAGATACTGGTCAGGGAGAGACCTACGCCGCTAGCTGTAGAGGCTATTGATGGTAGACCACTCACACAACCGCTTATAACCCACAAAACTGTCCCTATTACGATCTCCATTGGGGCCTCCCATAGGGAGGAGATGACGTTTCAGGTTATTACTTCTCCATCATGTCCTATCATATTAGGGTTTCCGTGGCTGAGTAAGCACAATCCCTATATTGACTGGGCTAATGGGGAGATATTAGAATGGGGTAAAAAGTGTATGGGGAGATGTATAAAACCAGTACTAAAGAGATTGGATACTATTGACCTTCCCACTACCACTCCCCAAACTCCTGGAGTTCCCATACAATACCGAGAACTTCAGGAGGTGTTTAACAAGGCTCAATCCGATGTATTGCCTCCCCACAGAGCATATGACTGTGCCATTAACCTGTTTCCAGGCGCTATGCCACCTAAGGGGGCAGTTTATGCCTTATCTCCCCAGGAGAGTAAAATAATGGAGGAATACATCAAAGAATCCTTGAGCAAAGGGCACATAAGAAAGTCATCCTCACCAGCTGGTGCAGGATTCTTTTTTGTTGAGAAAAAGGGTGGTGAGTTACGCCCTTGCATAGACTATAGGGCACTTAATAAAATCACTGTAAAAATGCATACCCTATTCCACTCATTTCCGAATTGTTCGATAGACTTCAGGGAGCTAAAGTATTTACTAAGCTTGACCTTAGGAGCGCTTACAATTTGGTTAGAATTAAAGAGAATCATGAGTGGAAGACGGCATTTAATACCCGTAGTGGACACTATGAATATCTGGTAATGCCATTTGGGTTATGCAACGCCCCGGCCGTATTCCAAGACTTTATAAATGATGTACTCAGGGAATTCATTTACTCATTTGTCTTGGTTTATTTGGACGATATTTTGGTGTATTCTCCTGATCTTCAAACTCACCACTCCCATGTGAAACAGGTTCTGCAGATGTTGTTGAAAAATAAACTTTATTGTAAATTAGAAAAGTGCATATTTGACCAGCCTGAAGTCCACTTTTTGGGTTACAACATCTCTGCATCGGGATTTCAAATGGATCCTAAAAAACTAGAGGCTGTACTACACTGGCCATTACCCTCTGGTTTAAAAGCCATTCAAAGGTTTATTGGTTTTGCCAACTATTACAGAAGATTCATCAAGGGATTTTCTTCTGTAATAGCCCCAATCACAAATATGACTCGCAAAGGGGTTAGTAGCACGGTATGGTCCAAAGAGGCTGTGAATGCTTTTGAGACTCTTAAACAAAGATTTGCCTCTGCGGACATACTAAAACATCCTGACACCAGTAAACCTTTTATATTGGAGGTTGATGCATCCGAGACAGGGGTAGGGGCTGTTCTCTCTCAGAGAGAAAGCCAGGGAACACCATTGCATCCTTGTGGCTACTTCTCCAGAAAGATGTCTCCTGCTGAGCGCAACTATGATATTGGCAATAGAGAACTGTTGGCCATTATTCTTGCCCTCAAGGAGTGGCGACATCTTTTGGAGGGTTCCAAGGACCCCCTGTTGATCATAACCGACCACAAAAATCTGGCATATATAGGGGATGCCAAACGTTTGTCTTCCAGACAGGCTAGATGGTCACTGTTCCTTTCACGTTTTAACTTTCTCATTACTTATAGACCTGGTTCTAAAAATACCAAGGCTGATGCCTTGTCCAGGCAATTTGATAATGAGTCAGCTCCGGAACAGATGATATCTCCTATTATTCCACCAGAGTGTATTATTGCTACTACTGTCCTTTCACTGTCTTCTCCACTGCTTGGCACCATACTGGAGGCCCAGCCTCAGGCGCCCAGTGGTAAACCGTGTGATAAACTGTTCGTTCCCCTATGTGAAAGGGTTAATATCATGAAAGTGTTCCATGACAATATAACTGCTGGACACCCGGGCATCAATAAGTCCACTGCAGCGATCACTAGATCATTTTGGTGGGATTCACTCAGGAAAGATGTAAAGGAGTATGTGCAGGCATGTTCTGTGTGTGCAGTTTCTAAGGTGACTCATGCACTTCCTTGTGGCCTGTTGCAGCCTCTTCCTGTTCCTGAGATTCCATGGTCCCACCTATCCATGGACTTTATTGTTGAGCTTCCTAGCTCTGCTGGGTTCACTACTATTCTCATGGTTGTAGACCGATTTTCTAAGATGGCTCACTTCATTCCTCTCAAGAAGTTGCCATCTTCGCAAGATTTGGTCCTAATTTTCATACGTGAAATTGTCCGTTTGCATGGTATCCCCCACAATATTGTGTCTGATAGGGGCTCTCAGTTTGTATCCAGGTTCTGGAGGGCGTTCAGTAAACAATTGGGGATTGATCTCTCCTTCTCCTCCTCCTACCATCCACAGACCAATGGTACAGCTGAGAGGGCTAACCAGTCATTAGAAGTTTATTTGCGTTGTTTTATTAATAGCACACAAGACAATTGGTCCGAACTACTCCCGTGGGCCGAGTTCGCTAGAAACAATGCTGTTCATGACTCCTCTGGGCACAGTCCATTTTTGTCAATAATGGTAGGCATCCTACGGTTCTCCCTGCGGTATTTTCTGATACTGCCATTCCTGCTCTGGATGAGCATCTGGCCTCCATTCGGGATACCTGGGTTAAGGTTCAAACTGCTCTAGGGGCTGCTGCTGAACGCTTCAAACATTTTGCTGATAAGCGTAGGAGTGCCAACCCGGTGTACCAAGTGGGGGACCGGGTTTGGTTGTCATCTCGCAACATCAAGCTTAAGGTCCCTAGCATGAAGTTTGCCCCCAGATTCCTTGGTCCCTATAGAGTGCTTCGTAGGATCAATCCAGTGTCTTACTCTCTGGCTCTTCCTGCATCTTTAGGGATTCCCAACACTTTTCATGTGTCCTTACTCAAACCTCTTGTCTGCAATAGATATACTGTTCCTTGTGTTCCTCCCCCTCCGGTGGTGGTGGGTGGTCAGGAAGAGTATGAGGTATCTTCTATCGTGGATTCTAGGTTTTCTCGTGGCATTTTACAGTACTTGATTATTTGGAAAGGTTACGGTCCTGCTGATCGTTCTTGGGTTTTGGCTCCTGACCTGCATGCGGGCCGTAAGATCCGCGCTTTTCACGCTAAATTTCCTCTCAAGCCTGGTCCTGTCCGCCCGGTGGGCGTTCTTCAGGTGGGGGGTAATGTCACATATTCATCCGCTTATAGAAATGTGGTTAATGACATTTACTGTCCACACAGGAAAAGTTGTGCCGAGCAGCAACCTAATCCACAGAAGGGGTTAATGCTGAGCAGCAATTATGCAAATGAAACCTGGTAACTGACTTTGGGGTCAAAGGCCGGTTACAGCCTATCAGAAAGAAAGGAGGGGTATTTAGGCCCAGTTCTCAGCCTGCTCAGTGCCCTGTCGTGGTTTCCCTTGTGGTTGTCCGAGAGCGCGTTCCTGTTTATAGTTTTCTACCTGGTTTTTGACTTTTGGCTTTGTTTATTGACTTCTCTATATTCTGGTATCCTGACTCCTGGCTTTCCTCATCGCTGTGTCCCTTTCTGTGTTCCCTGACCTCGGCTAGTATTTTTGACTATTCTTTGTACGTTAAATCCGGCCATTCTAAGGACCGGTAATGCGTTACTTATTTGTCATCCGTGCTGTACAGTTCTACATGCTGGATCAAACAGTAATCCTGACAGATACATAATCGTGGGGTCACCTGTGGACCTAATTCCTAATATATTTCCGTCCAAGTGTAAGAGCAAAATTGCCCTGCAAACTGGTGGCTAATCCCAGAGTTTCTTATAGAGGCAGATAAATAACCCGTGATCTATGAAAATGACTAGACTAACGGTGTAGAGAGAAGTTAGTGAAGTAGTGTAGAAATTAGATTAAGGCGTTTTAAGAAGCCAAAATTATATATATAGGATAGATAAATGCTACACAAGTTATTTAGAGGCATATTTTATTATAACCTTAATGCATAATTACAATATTCATTTAAAGTACCCAAGAGATATGATAATATCTACACCTAAATTGTTATATCGATGACATGTGGGATTTAATTAATCAATTTAACCTAAATTTGAATGAGGTCAGGAGTTAGTATAATGCATGGTTCAGATCTAATGATTCAGATGAATTTAATACCTGAATTATACAAATTATCGCACAAAAAGCTCTATTCAGCCATAGGGTTATTCGTGCTAATTGTTATATTAAAGGTGAAGCTTTCGTATGAATTTAAACAAATGTTTTGCCGAACCATATAATTTAGAAGAACACATGCAAACAGTCATTCGTAGGAATGGCTGCAGCAAATAGAATTGCAAAGTTTATTCGAACAGCTGAGACAATGGAATTTTTGGTTGTTGAACCAAACTGACAGGGACATGCAGTAGTAAAAAGTACGAAATAAATTTAACCAACATCGTTCGGGAGTTTAACCGAACAGCTAGAAACATGAAATGTTAAGCAAAAGCAGTATGCGAACTGTTAAGCACTTGAGATAGACCTAAACCGTGATGATGCCATGGGACCGTGACTATGACGCGACAGGTCAGTATCTTACGGTTTTGGTAGGTGTCCAATTTACTTCCCCTGGAGCTGCAGGCCTGGTAGGTTGAAGGGTGGATAATCCTGGAAGTGGAAAGCCGTGGACCGGGAGCAAGCAGCAAGTACAGGTGAACCACGTGGAGACCTTGACGGGTCTATTTCAAGATATCTCTCTCTCTCTCTCTCTCTCTCTCTCTCTCTCTCTATATATATATATAGAGAGAGAGAGAGAGAGAGATAGAGAGAGAGAGAGAGATCTTGAAAAAGACCCGTCAGGATTATCCACGCGCTCTCTCATATATATATATATATATATATATATATATATATATTTATATATATATATATAGAGAGAGAGAGACATTTGTGAATTTGTCCCCACCCACCTTCACCCTTATAGCATTACAACTCTCCTTGGTGGGCCTTCTTTTATTTACAGGCCCACTCGTACGTTGGTTTTCGGTACACCACAAACCAACTTTCCTTTCTGACACTATACATTACGTATTAAATTCCAAGCACAAATATATATATATATATATAATATATATAATTCAAAGATAGAGAGAGAGAGATCTTAAAAAGATGAATAAACTTTGAATTATATATATATATATTTGCGCTCGGAATTTAATACGTAATGGATAGCGTCTGAGATGAAAGTTGGTTTGTGGTGTGCCGAAAACCAACGTACGAGTGGGCCTGTAAATAAAAGAGGGCCCACCAAGGAGAGATGTAATGTTATTGTCAGGATTACAGAATTGTGTAACACAGAGGACTGATAGGTAACGTATACCGGACCTTAGAATGGCCGGACTAACGTACCAAAGAATAGTCAGGAATAGCCGAGGTCAAGGGATACAGAAATACACAATGATAAGGAAAAGCCAGGAGTCAGGGATGCCTGAAAACAGGGAAGTCAAAAACAATGCCAAAGTCAAATAGCCAGAATAACAAAAATAAATAATAACAACCACAGGGGAAACCACGACAGGGCACTGAGCAGGATGAGAACTGGGCCTAAATACCCCTCCTTTAGATCTGGTAGGCTGTAACTGGCCTTTGACCCCAAAGGCAGTTACCAGGTTCTCTTTGCATAATTGCTGCTCAGTAGTAACCCTTCTGTGGATTTGGTTGCTGCTCAGCACAACTTTTCATGTGTTGACAGTAAATGCCATTAACCACATTTTTATAAGCAGATGAATACGTGACAGTTATAAGGGTGAAGGTGGGTGGGAACAATCAACTTTACCGGCAGAGGTGAGTAGGGGCTGGGAGTTTAAGTAGGGGACTTACTCCTCCCACAAATTCAGGCCTAATGGCCTTTCTACTTGTGCTCGGAATTTGATACGTAATGGATAGTGTCTGAGATGAAAGTTGGTTTGTGGTGTGACGAAAACCAATGTATGAGTGGGCCTGTAAATAAAAGAGGGCAAAGAGAAGTTCAAGAAAAACACACTTTATTGCATTTAGTACATAACCAAATTCCTGAAGGCTTGGTGAAGCTCTCTTTCTAGTTGTGGTATGTACGTATGATATATGGAGGATTTCCATCGACCTAGTCTCTTGATGATGTGAACCGGGGTGTTTGTATTAGAGGCTGATGAAGCGGCTCCAATGAGGAAGGAGTGACCGAAGAAATAAGTCGAGTTGTAACCCAGTTTTGCCAGTAAGGTTCTAACGTGCATCGTGAATTTAGCAGTGGTGAGTGGGTGCCCTTGTAATAATAAGAGCGGAGAGTCTTGTAAGTGTGTGTGATGAGTTGACCGTAGATGGTCTAGTGCCTTAACCGGACACCAAGCATTATCAGTGGGAAAGAGGGGAATAATAGTGGGGTGTAGTGAGTGATTAGTTTTAGTAGATGGGAGCGTGAGTACGTAGTGATATTCCACCTTAGTGAGGTGTGAGGTTTTAAGGCTGTGTGAGATCTCCCCTTGACAAACAACGGTGAATTCTCCAGGTCTAAGGAAATCATAAAAAGCTAGATAAATGGCAGTCTTGATGACCGGGTTTGTGTCAGGATCGAACGACGATTCATCAAGTAGATTGCTGAGTAATCTAAAGATAGGCCCATCTATTGATAGTCTGGTGGTGGTAAGTGGAACAGAAACCTTTGAGATACCCTTTAAGACTTTCTTGATGGGGTAGGATGACAAGAAGGGGGTTTTGTTAGTGAGACTGTGGTGCTGAACCCCTGTGAGGTATAGTTTAATGGTATTGTGAGAAAGTTTTAAATGTAAGTGGCAGAAGGAGGCAAAAGCCACCATGGTTTGAGCAGAAAAATCACCTTGTAATCCGAAATCTGCTATGAATTTATTAAAAATGGTAAGTGCCCTACTGTAGGTGACAGCTGTGTTAGGTGATAGTGCTTGGTGTGTGAGAGACCTAGCGTGGTGTATTAGTGCGTTCAATCCAGGATTAGTTTGTGAAACCGTGGTGTCTTGGATGGCTGGCGGTGGGCTGTAGGCCGTGCAAGCGCCTGATGGTTGTCCTTGCAAGCGCCTGATGGTTGTCCTTGCAAGCGCCTGATGGTTGGCCATGGTGGCTTTTGGCAGAAGGAGGCAAAAGCCACCATGGTTTGAGCAGAAAAATCACCTTGTAATCCGAAATCTGCTATGAATTTATTAAAAATGGTAAGTGCCCTACTGTAGGTGACAGCTGTGTTAGGTGATAGTGCTTGGTGTGTGAGAGACCTAGCGTGGTGTATTAGTGCGTTCAATCCAGGATTAGTTTGTGAAACCGTGGTGTCTTGGATGGCTGGCGGTGGGCTGTAGGCCGTGCAAGCGCCTGATGGTTGTCCGTGCAAGCGCCTGATGGTTGTGCCTGGCCTAGGCTCCGTGGCCTGATTGGTCAAGAGTCTGTAGAGGTCTGCCTTTCTAGCCATAGCTGGAAAGGGGATGCCCCTTAGCCTAAGTTCAGCTGTAATTTTTGGAATAGTCCATGCTCTCAAGGACGTAGGAGTAGAGGAGGTAAGAGATACGCCTGGAGACTCTGGTCTGATAGTAGTGAACCGGATCTCTTTGGCAGACAAATCGTCGGTGGGAGCTGGTTCTTGAGACATTATAGAAATTAGTTGGTGAATTAGATTTATTAGGCGAAGGAGGGAACAGAGGAAGGGTGTGGGGGGCGGGGGTTCCTTAGGTGAACTGGGTAGTGCCAAAGTGAAATCCTTAACTGTTAACTAGTGACAAGTGAGGCCCTGCTAGTACTGAGTGGCGGTGAGAGGCTCTATCTATGATTTGGCCGAGGGAAGTTTTTTGCCACAGATGTGGTGGCGGTATGTTGACCTCTCGATGACTGTTAAGGAGATTCAAAAGTGAGGCCCTGACTGCAGCCTTGTAGAAGGGAGAACGAGGCATCTAACTATGATTTGGGCGTGGGACCGTACCTCCGTGTTGAGGTGGGAGATGGCCTCGCGGGACCGGCATTTTAATTGAGACTGTCGGGACTTGTATAAAAAGCCCCGTAATGAGTAGAGTACTATGCCTTGATTTGTTGTATAGGTACTTGGATGAGCATAAGTGTTTTTTTACGGAGAAAACCAGAGGAAGCCTAGAATAGTGTTGGAGCTATGGATAAAAGCCATTGTATATTATTAAAATAAGCAATGGTTATGACATTATATTTTAATTAACAAATTCCGTTTTTGACAAGTTTAGAGTGAAGGCTGCCTGAGGCCTTGACATGATTGAACAGAAGTGAATAAATACTATACCTGAATTGTAAATACAAGAAATTGAAATTGACAACTTTACGCAGAAATAAAAGACAAACGGGCAATCTGTGGAGACCAAAGAAATGTAACAGAGGCTAAAATTAATGTCTGCATAAACTAATGAGAAATAGAGAATACTAAGAAATGTAGAGTTTGCAAAATTCCCCCAGAGGATCGTGCTATACATTAATATATAAGTTTGTGACTGCGTACAGGGTTGGCGTGGAGTTGAAAAATGCCGCCAAAGTAGTAGGGTGTCAGGAAGAATTTATTAAGTGTATAACGTACCTAAAACACAGAGGGTTAACTCTATAGGGCCTTGGAATAAATAACCGAGTACTGAGATTAAGTGTCATAATTTATATATAAACATAATTAAACCAAGAGCCACTGAGGTAATAGTAAATTGTTGTAGTAATAAACAGATTTTATTAACTAATACTGACAGATTTAATACTAACAGTTAAGTAACTGAACGGGAAGTATATATGAATAAATGATTGTTTAGCTCGTATGAACGAAAATCTGATATTTGCACCAACAGGGGTCGACAGTTTAGACCGCACTGGGGACCCAGTGAAGCTAAGTATAGTGTGCATTCACCTAATTCCGCACGAATAGAAGTAGTGTACGAACGGGTAAGTATGCGAGGGGTGAACAGAATATTGCACGAATCACTAAATCACTAAATGGGTAAGTATATATGAATACAGTTTGTTCGTAATGAACGAACGGTATACCAGAATTTAACTAAATTGTACCAGAGTTTACACAAACAAAGGTCGGCAGTTTAGACCGTACGAAGGACCCACAAAAGGTAAATATAGCCGGCGTTCGTCTAATTTAGACGCACGGATGTGGAAGTTCGCGAATGGGTTAGTGTGCACGAACAGATAATGTATAAGTAAAAGGGGAGCCTACCCCTACGTTTTTAGGCCCAAACGGAGGGAAATAGCCAAAAGCTATTTCCCTCACAAGCTTACGTGAGCATGCCGGTCTCATGACCGGAAGCCAAATACCACGACCGGGGAGAAGCTGGGTGGCAGGGCTGCAGAACGGACGGAGGATTCAGCTGGACACCTCTGCTGCTGGAGAATGGAGCTGTTTGGCGAGAAGCTCGGACCGGAAGTGCTAGTTTCTATGGAGATACAACAATCAACTTTACCGGCAGAGGTGAGTAGGGGCTGGGAGTTTAAGTAGGGGACTTACTCCTCCCAAAAATTCAGGCCTAATGGCCTTTCTACATATATATATGAAGCCAAGAGGGCTGCACTCACCTCAACATGCATACATTACAGTGTGCATTATATTTCACCCTATAATGTATGCATGTTCAGGTGAGTGGGGCCCTCTTTGTTTAATTTTTATATTTGGGAGTACAGGCCAATTCTTTGGTTTTGCACCCCTCCCTGTCACAAGTGACTCATTCCAGAATCCTATTTAGCCTTCTGGAGATACGCTCTCCAGTACTGCGTACAATACTCCAAGTGAGGTCTCACCAGTGTTCTGTACAATGGCATGAGCACTTCCATCTTTCTACTGCTAATACCTCTCTCTATGCAACCAAGCATTC